GGCCCACCTCCCTGTGGAGGCTGCCAGGGATGGCCTAGCAAGGACAGCAGTGGCCCAGCCTTGTGTGGGGCTTAACACAGGCAACCTTGGTGTTGCTAATGGACAAGTATTTGTCCAACAGACTGGAGCTGCACACGGTGGAGATCACAGACTCTGAACCTGCGCAAACCCCTACTGACCCCTCGGCCTTGGTGGCAGGCTCCGCTCCCCCCAGCCAGCCCACCAAGTCCTGGGCCAGTTTCTTCCATGATTCCAAGCCCTCTTCTTCCTCACCCGTGGCTTATGTAGAAACCAAGTATTCCCCACCTGTCACTTCATCTCCGGGCCTCTGAAAAGCAGGTTGAAGTCAGAGAAGGGCTTGTTTCAGTTGGGGAGGACCCTGTAGCCATAAAGATCAAAGAGTTACTGGAGACTGTAACCCTGATCCATAAACCGGTGTCATTGCAACCCCATGGGCTGATCAATAAAGAAAACTGGTGCCACATTAATGCCACGTTGCAGGCATTGGTTGCTTGTCCCCCGATGTATCACCTGATGAAGTTCATTCCTGTGTATTCCAAAGTGCAGCAGCCTTGTACGTCCACACCCATGATAGATGGCTTTGTTCGATTGATGAATGAGTGCATTAAAATGCCAGTACCTCCAAAACCCAGACAAGCTCTTGGGGATAAAATCGTGAGGGACATCCACCCTGGCGCCGCCTTCGAGCCCATGTATATTTATAGACTCCTGACGGTCATCAAGTCCATCTTGTCCGAAAAGAGCAGACAGGAAGACGTTGAGGAATACCTAGGCTTTATTCTCAATGGACTCCACAAGGAAATGCTGAATCTAAAGAAACTTATCTCACCAAATAATGAAAAGCTCAGTGTCTCCAACGGGCCACAGAGCCCCTGGGTGAACAACGAGGAGCAGAAAGAACCAGGCGAGGGCAGCGATGATGAGTGGGAGCAGGTGGGCCCCAGGAACAAGACGTCGGTCACTAGGCGGCAGGTGGACTTTGTCCAGACTCCCATTACTGGCATTTTTGGTGGGCATATGAGGTCTGTGGTTTACCACCAGAGCTCAAAGGAGTCGGCCACGCTGCAGCCCTTCTTCACACTGCAGCTGGACATCCAGTCCAACAAGATCCGCGCTATCCAGGATGCACTGGAAAGCTTGGTGGCCAGAGAGTCTGTACAGGGCTACACCGCAAAAACCAAGCGGGAGGTGGAGATAAGTCGCGGAGTGACTCTGGAGACGTTCCCTCCTGTCCCCGTGTTACATCTGAAACGATTCGTTTATGAGAAGACTGGCGGCTGTCAGAAACTGATTAAAAACATTGAATATCCTGTGGACCTAGAAATCAGCAAAGAACTGCTTTCTCCAGGAGTCAAAAACAAGAACTTCAAATGCCACAGGACCTATAGCCTATTTGCAGTGGTCTACCACCATGGTGACAGCGCCACTGGCGGCCACTACACCACGGACGTCTTCCAGATCGACCTGAATGGCTGGCTCCTCACGGATGACCAGGTAGTCAAAGTGATCACCCAGTGCCAGGTGGTGAAGCCCATGGCCGAGAGCATAGCCTATCTCCTCTGCGTGGACCTGCTGCAGCCCATGACATCGCTCGTGTCCACACAGGTGCCCCTCCTCCCCTCACGTCATGCCACACCACGCCGACTCTGTCCCATGCGCACACTGACTGCCCCACGCTGACTCCACACTCAGGGAAGCAGGTGTCTTTGACTCTGACTCCTCCCCTCTATGCTGCAGGCCCTGCCCCAAGGCCACTATGGTGGCGGTGACACCTACCCTCCCTCTTTCCTATCCCTTCTGCAATAATAGGCTCGAACTAAAGGAGACGCTGGACTTCGTGCACAACATGGTGCATGCTGACTTTTAACTTCCAGATCCAGCTCATTTGGTTGAAAGAGACTCACTTGGTTGGGAGGGGGGATCCATTCACAAACCCCATGTTTCTGAAATAATGCTGATTCCTGAGATGGGGAAAGGATTTCTGCTTGATTTCCAGTCTGATTGCCTAGTATGTAAGTCCTGCACCAGCAACGACACTTGTAAATTTGTACAAAGGAATTTTTTAATTCATCACACTTTTCTCCCTCACCTTTAGTTTTTGATAAATGATTAAAAAAAATAGGAGCCAGTTATCGGAGGAGAAGGAAATAATTCTTTCCTCAGAAAAGAAACGTATTAAGTTGCTGGTTCCTAGCGGGGAAAAGCATTTTAGTAATTGTGCAATGAGAAACTGCTTCTGTACACAATGCCGAGAAAATCCTTAGAGTTAAGATGTTAGGATACGTAGATGGGTGACTGTAACTCTATTGCCATTAAAAGATTTCAGGTTGCATTCACGCTTCTGTGTACATGTCACAAAACATGGGCAGAATACTGCGTGTTAGTTTCTCAATCTGCTCTGTGTAATTTTGCTGTCTGCTTCCTGTGATGCCACCTCTCCAATTTTAGACAGTACAGTGATGCCTAGGGGTATGACGTGGTCGCCCATCAATAAAAATCACAAAGTTGAAAAAAAAAATCTAGATCTTACCTCATTTTGTCTTCTTGAGATATCTTTTGAAATCTTATGCTCATCTCTCTTATGTCGTATCTCCTAGTTTGGTTTTTTTAATTGGCTTCTTTATATTCTAGTGCAAGTTACAAAATTTCTTCTGACATCCACTTTGGTCTTCTTTCTTCCCTCACTTTATAATGCTCTTTTGCGTTCTTTACAGATGATGTCCTCAATATCATCCCACAACTTGTCTCTGGTCCTCAGTGTTCAAAACATCAAATCTATATTTTTTTCTTTTAAATGCTAGTTTACTTACAAAATTGGAATACATTGTTTCCAAGAATTGATTCATTTTGAAATTCAGGTGAGATAAACTCAAGGTTGTCTTTTGGCTCTCATGGGCTGGTTTTCACTTTATACACTTTCAATTTGAACCGCTGTTATGTGTCATCGAGTCACTTGCGACTTATAGCGACCCTATGTACAACAGCCCTAAACTCTGCCCTGTCCTGTGCCAATCGCACTGTCCCTAACACAACCACCCCGATTACCCCAGTCACTGAATCAATCCACATCACAGAGGGTCTTCCCCTTCTGTGCTGATCCCTCCACCCTCCCAAGCATGATGCCCCTCTCCAAGAACTGGTCCCTCCTTGCAACATGTCAAAAGTATGTCAGACAAAGCCTCAGAATCCTTGCCTCCAAGGAACAGCCCAGTTTAACCCTCTCAGGTTGAATCTGTTTGTTTTCTTGGCAGTCCATGGTACATTCAATACTCTTCTCTAGCATCACAGCTCAAAGGCATCAATTCTCCTCCTATCCTCCCTATTCATTGTCCAACTCCCTGATGCATAACAACTGATGGCAAAGACCATGGCCCATATCAGGTGCACCTTAGTCTCCAGAGTGACACCATTGCTCTTCAGCAGACGTTCCCATCCAAATACGCCTTTTCATTTCCAAGCTGCTGATGCCAAGAGTGTTGATTGTGGAGCCAAGCAAACTAAAGCTGTGAACAACCTCAATCTCTTCACCATCCATCCTGATGATGCCAATTGGTCCGTCCAGTAGTGAGAATCTTTGTCTTCTTGATATTGAGCCTCAATGGTCTCTTCCACAATCAGCTCCTGTTCTTGTTTGGACTATTGATTTCGAGCTTTTGTGCAGAACAATTCCTGTTATCAGTCATATCAAGTGAGGCCCATATATTTAGTGGACATTTATAGTTTTGTTTTTAAAATAAAAAAAGAAGTGAAATTTAAAAAATCATTCATTGTATAAAATTCTATCATTTGATCTCCAGCCTCATTTCTGCCTTATTTTCCAACTACCAGTGCTTCCTCTCTCTTTCCAACTTTTGCATTCGAATCATGAACAATTATTAATGTATCTTGGGTACATGCTTGAACAATTTCATACAGCAAAAGTTGCTAGAAATTCTCAATTTCTTCATCTTGGGCTTTAATCATTGTAGTGTATATTTGAAAAATAGTTGTATTAACAGATCTTCTTTGCATACATGTGGATAGTGTCCTATCAATCAAAACATTTTACTTCAGGACAGATATTGAAATGCTATTACTAAACAGACATTGAATTAATCACTTGAGGGACTATTGAGGGGTATTTTGGGGGTGTTGTCGGTAGAGAGTGGCACTCCTAACCCCAAAGCGACTCCTCACGGCTCACACTCACCAAGGGCTCCACAGAAAGATGACAGACAATCTCCTGTGAGATTCACAGCCTCTGAAACCTGCTGGACGGTCAGAAGGAATGTGTCGACTCCCCAGCAATGCCTTTGACTGGGAGGGAATTTGGAGTGAACTTTAATCATAGTTGAGGGATGGACCAGTCAATAAATCAAAGCCAGGCTTAAAATGTTATCAGGAAAAACAATGTATAGGAACTTTGTAATTAAAGCAATATAAAATGAAATTAAATAAAAACATCATTTAAAAAAAGAAATGTTATCAAGAGGGGTCATGTCTGACATAGTAAAAGCTTAGCTAAAAAGAGGAATAACCTCACAGGGTTGGATTAACACAGAAGCTGCAGGCCAGAGTTAGGCAGTATCTTGTTTTCTGGGACACAGGGCTGCTAACAGTCAGAACTGAATAGATAGTATCAAACAGCAACAAAAACAACAGGCCTTAACCATATTTGTTTCTTTGAAAGGGTCCTGAAGAATTCAACGACTCTCTAAAACTGCTATAAAAAATAAACAAGTACTTCTTTGCAATTTTTAATATTGTTTTGGGTGAGGCCATGGCCTCTGTCTTTATTGCTAATTTTCCTCTTATCACGCGTTTCTTTCTCAAAAGCTTTTTGAGGGGCACCCAAGGTTGCCTCTGAAGAATACGCCAAAATCATTTGCATTAAAACAAACCCCAAACAAAACTCCAGCAAACCCTGGCTACAAGAAATCACACTGTCATCATGGCACCAAACACATTGAATCTACACACTCAGTAAACCAGAACAGTGTCTATTGACCTGAAGAAGAAAGTGTTCCTCTTCCTTTAGCTGTGCTTGTTGTATGAAAACGTGTGGTTGCCCTGGGAACAGCTACACCCCGAGTGGTTGTTAAAGGGGCAGAGGTTCGTGTAGTCTGATGCCCCTTAGTACCTGGAACATGTATCCCAGTGGATCTTTGTGTTGTTGGAAGTCTCTGTGTAAAGGAAGCTTTGACTGTGGAGGCACTTTGGGTGGATGGGGTGGCCTGAGCAGCAGAAGCATTTTTCATGGTGGGACTCTGTGCTGCTGGTGAGGTATTTGCAGGCAGAGCATTAGAAATAGGTGGTTTTTGTGTTGTTCCTGAAACCTTTGTGACAGAAACATTTGCTGACAGGGGCTTCTGAGCAGTTAGTGGGATTTCTGGAGCTGGAAGATTAGCTGAGGTAGTATTCTGAGCAGTTAGAGGG